AAAGTCGGGGAATTCGTGGAGGACGCATTGTTTCGAAGTGCCCAGGGTCTGTACGCGGTCAAACACTTCGGGCAAGAATATCGTCCGTGTTGCGAGGCAATCGAGTAGTCCCAAGAGATCTGTCGAAGCCAATGGTGATTGTGTATCACCGAAGTGCACCCCTTGGATCGACAGATAAAGTGCTGGTCGATGCTGTCGGAGACTCGAAACAACCAATCGGTGAGTGGCGCCTCGTTGGTGACCATACTCCAGAATTCATCGGCGTTCCACTGAGGGTCGATGGCTCGAGCTATCGTCGTGATCTCCCACTGGGCAAAGGCTTGGAACACTCGTTGTTTCTGGGACTCGTCGAGCTTAGCGAGGTCCGCCACGAAAATGTCCGTGAGTCGTAGGATTCGAGCTCGGACTTCGCGTCTCACATTCGACTTGGACTCCCCTGGGCGCTCGCGTTCGATGTCCTCGCACATTTGCTTCCACGAAGCACTCCGCTGTCTCGCGGTTTCCTGTGTAATTCGCTTTCTGACGGAGTTCACCTTTTGACAAATGAGGTACCAGTCGGGGATGCTGATGGTGTCGCAGCGGGTCGTGTTCTTGCGGACGAAAGTCGGCTTGCGGATCCATCGGCATTTCGAGGTGTCCCAGTAGTTGTCGAAGAACACTTTGCAGTAGAAACCGTGTGTCCGTTCGATGGCGATGCGCCAACCCGGCGGCTTTGTCTCGTGGTCATCGTCGCGGTCATAAAGCTTTCGGCGATCCATTTGGTTGTAGGGAGCATCTCGAAGATTACCGCGTACCCCGACTTTGGCCGGAGAGAGGTCGGAGTGCTCCGCGTACCACACAAAGTCCTCGTTGGCTCCTGTCGCGCACTGGTAACAACATCGGTAGTGTATGTTGCGCCAGTCGTCTTCGCCATCGGGGTTGACCGAGAGGAGGTAGTAGGGGGGGAAGAGGAGGCCACAGAAAGTGCAATCGAGGGAGCCGTCGTGGAGCTTGTCGGTGTTCGGGGTGCTGAAGTACTGGAGGTACTTCTCGACACGATCGACGTCCCTCTTGTGCTGATCCTCGATCGAAGTCCCATCGCGACCAATTAGTTCGATGGGCATCCCGTTATCGTCGACTTCCTCGCCGGTCAATTGTCGCCGCCAGATGGTGGCGAGCTCGGCGTCTGATGAGTTAGGAAACTGTCGACGTAGGGATGCCATCGCGGTCTTTTCGGAAGCTCGTTTAAAGGCGATTACCTCGAGGGCTCCCTGGGTGTGTTGATCGTCGTATAGTCTTCGTTGCATTTTGAGAGCACGGCCCGCATCGGTGTCTGGGTCAACACCCTCCAAGTATCGCGCGGCCGGCAAAACTGCCCCGGAGCTACTCGCGGGTGCTTGGGAGAACTGCTCGATTGGATCGGGTGCAGTCGTGGGAACCTCGGGAAACTGTTCAATCGGATCAATGTCCATCGAGGTCTGACGGTGGCTGGCCATCGCGTCGGGTGGGTCGGGAGGTACGGGAGTACAAACAGGGCTTGAGAGGTCGAAGTCTACGGAAGCCAAGCAATCTCCAAGGAGAGAGCAGGCCCCACTACAACTAGTAGAGCCTGTGGTACACACAAGTAGTTGTACTGGGCAATGGGCTTCACTTCTTGTTCTCGTGTGGGCATAGCGAGAGTCGAGGTAGACTATCGGGTAGAGTGGGACACGTCGCCGAGGCGGAATTCCCCCTAGAGCCCGAAATCGAGGTGACACCGGACACTCCCGTGCGTCGCCGAGGCGGAAACGGGGTAACCATGTGAGACCGGTGGGCTTCGGGAGCGTCTAGTTGAAAGATCGAGAGCCTTCTCGAAATCGTAGGATGAAGGCTGGTGGCTCTGCGGCGATGATGGGTCGCATTCTCTCGTGTTGGGCGAAAGCACTCCGCATCGCCGGAGCTAGCATGTTCGAAGTACACGAGATGATCGCAGATGCTTGTTCGCGAAAGAAGGTCGTCATCGGCTCGAAGTTCGGCATCTGTGCCGCAAACAGGTTGAGGTTGTGGGCTGTGTGGCACCACATTCGAAGTCGGTGCATGCGGTACTCCACCGATGTATGACTCAAGTCGGAGAGGGACGCCGTCATGCTATGCCAGACCATCGAGTAGATCAGTGTAGTCCGGGGGTCGACGAAGTTGTTCGGGACACCCAGGAACAAGACCCTCTCCTGGAGAGTGTCGTCCTGTGGGGTATGAATCGGGAGGTCGATGTACAGCCCAAACTGTGTCAGATAGCTCCCGAAGGTCGGGCATCGGAGAACCTGTTCGAGGTAAATGACGCCGTCATATGTGATTTCCCATGGGGAATCGAAGGCAAAGGACGAGTACGGGTGGTTGCCTGGAGGAAGCATCGCGACATTGTGTCCGCCCACCGGTGTCATCGCCTGTAAATTCGGGGACATCATCGGGAAGTTGTCGAAGTGTCTCAAAGTCTGGAATCCGAACACAGGTTCGTGTGATGCCGATGGATTGGATCGGACATCGTCGATCGACGTCCTGCCCTTGTCAACCACCTGTGTGTCGAGCCACTGTACTCGGAATCTCTCGAGGCAGGACTGTCGAGGTGGCTGTGGCTGAATCGCGGTCGGTACACCCGTGTATGGACTCTGCATTGATGTCGCGACCGTCGAGGAGGAGGCAGCTCCAGCCTGGGTCGTGTTCGGTGTCAGGACCTGTCTAGGGTCTGGTCGTGACAGGTCCACAGCTGGGTGGACCGTAAACCTCGGAGGAACCACTTTGGGCATAGCCTTCGTCTGTGCCCCCACAATGGTCGTGGTAGTCGGTGTGCCGAAGGCTGGGTTGATCCACTCGGAGTCACTCGGGTTGTTGGTCGTAGTAGTTGTGGCTTGGTCCGTCGGCTGTGTTACCTGGGTACTCATCGGAGTCGTGGTCGGAGGTGTAGCCGGAGCTGCCATCGGGGGAGTCGGTGGTTCCGTGGTATCGTCGTCCGGATGCCAAGGGTCCGGGGACGCCGGTCGAGTCTGTTGTGTGGTAGTATTAGGTGTTGCCGTCGGAGTCGGAGCCGGGGTAGAGGCTGCGATCTCATCCGGGACCTCGACGATTACCGGCGTGTTGTCGAGCCATCGTTTAGCCGGTGATTGCGATCGTCGAGGGAATCTCGCCGGTGACAATGGTCGATTTGAACCGCGAGCTGCTCCATCGCCGGGGCGGAAGGCAGCTCGGGTAGATCGACCGAAGCTAGGGGCATCGGAGTCTGTGTCCGTGCCCAACTGGAAGAATGGTCGCCTCGGCGCAGTGCTCGGAGGTGCTGTCGAAGGTGCCGCCGATGGTGTTGGGTTCGTAGGAGCAGTCGACGGTGTAGCTGCCGGAGGGAATCGCGATCCCGAGGAGGGGAAAATATTCCCTCGCGGTGTGATCGGAGGCTGTCCCCATGTCGCTGGGGGTCGAGAGTCATCGCGTGCTCGTCGGGGAGATCGTCCTCGATGATTGCCCTCTGCCATATCTTGTCGGAGTCTGGCCGCAGCGTCGGATTTGTCCCATGCTTCGAAGTCGTAGTACTTGGAGAAGTTGGTGCCGAAGTTGAATTTGCGCATCTCGGTGTGGCGAAAGGTAGCCATCGTGTCCATGATCCACTCCTTTGCCTGTTCTCGAGTCACTTGCTCGAGGAAGGCACCTCGTGATGAGTAGTGGTACGGAGGCTCACCGCGTCGGAGTTGTCGTTGCAGGACAACAGCTCGTCGCATGGCATCATCGAAAGTAAGTCCGTGTTGGTTCCAACATGTGTTGTGGTACTCGCAGCATCCCTGGAACCATTTATGGCAGATTAGATTAGGCACCACCCATTTCTTGTTCAGGAAGTCGGGGTGTAGGTGCACACAGTTATGCATGTTGCAGTTCTTGTTATCGAGGATTCGGGGGCAAATCTGTCGTTTGATCGCGGACAGAGGTACTCGGGCTTCGTCGTGGACTCTTTCGGGGAACTCAGCGAGCATAGAACTCGGCACAGGTGCAGTGAAATTCTGCGTCGAGCCCTCGCAAAGAAAATCGAACCAAGAGTCAGATCGAGGGACTGCCATGGCTTCGAAGTAACTAATCCAAGTCGATGGATGTCGTGTTAGAGGGCTTGAGGCGCCCTTCGAAGTTTCTCTTTCGAGCTGTAGAGGCAGCGGGTTCGGGATTATGAAGTTCGATGCCAAAATCATCACGAAAAATGTCTGCCAAATGCTGATTACGCAACTCTGTCTCGTGTACAAGGAGAGCAGCATCAGTCTCCGCTGGAAGGGGTGCATGATCGGAGTCAGGGTGTAGGGAAGCCTCGACGATCTCGAAGGGCACCGTCAGCGGCTCCGCGGACTCGTCGCGGTTGGTAATGTGCAGGTACAGGAAGGCCTCGAGATTGGGCGGCTTCAACAAAGTCGCCGCCAAATTGACAATGTCGTTCGCCGTCTGACAATAGGCGATCTGGTCGATGGCCTTCCGTATTTGTCGGGATTGTCGTTTGTTCCAGGCTCCCCACGTCACATTCTCGGGTTTCTCGATTTGAAAATCTTCGAGAACTTGCTCGCGGCTGAATTCCTCGAGCGATTCCTTCAAACTGTCAACAACTGACAGAGAAGCCGTAGTGCTCGAAGTACTGGCCGCCAGCAGCGGTCGTAGTAGAACTCGGGGTACTGGCCGCCCGGAGTGGCTATGACCGAGGAGTGATCCGAGGGGACTGAAACAAAATTTCTCTCAAGCTGGAACAGCTTGAGCCAAAATGGCCACGGAATATACAATCGTTCGAATTGAATCGGTGAGTTAATCCCCTGACCGATTCGGTGATCAAGTGAGATAATATGTTGTCACTTCGCACAAACAAGTGTGTGCTACACCACAAAACAGAAGCAAGCCCCATGCCGCCAGAAACTGAACAGCTTTCGGTTGGCCCCTAGTGATCTCACGCACCCACCTGATCTGAGCCAAGCGCAGCAGCGCAGCACGGCACAGCCGTCGGCTTCAAACCCGAGTCCCGGAACCGAAGCCTCAAGGAAGACGCGGCGCTCGCGCCAAGGAGCTCAGGCGACTCGGCGCAGCCGCGCCCCTCGATGACCTGCTTGGAACAGGTTGTAGGATTGCAAAATCAGGAAGCTTAACATTCGTTACAGTAGGGCTCTCACTGCTGCTGCTTACACAGCTGTCTTTTTGGTTTTAATGACCCGGGTCAATGACCCGTGCTTCTTGCTGCCATGCGTTTATGTTTCTCCTGCAGCTTGCCGTCTGCGCCAACAGTCCAGCCAGCCTTGTGGTATGCCACGATGTTGCCGCAGCGATGCTGCGCGACCATGTCCGGGCAGGGATTGGGCACCTAGGCCGAGTCGCGTCCAGGCTTCAGGAAGTGTCGTCTCAAACCAAGCACTACAACGCTTTGAGTCGCTGGTCTCATGCAAATGTAGATCACTCAGCCATATGTGCTTGTCGCGGTCTCCAGCAAGCGAAGCCAGCCTTCACATGCTCTCGCCCGTGCGAATACTCGAACCCGACGCAGCAGTCCGTCTTTTTGTCCACCACCGACACTTCATGGATCTTGATTTAATACCATGCAACAGCTCTACCACATAAAGCACAGAAAAACAAGCTTGACAGCTCGCACATTGTCGAGGCCTCTATCACTGATCCTACGATCAAGCTGCTGAGGCCACCGACCGTTGGAAACCCAGCAACCCGGACGGAGTTTTCGTAGAGCCAGATGCATCCTTGGCCCGCAGGCTCAGCCGAAACGGGAGGGCTGTGCTGCTGCAGCATTCTTCCCCAAAGCTACCGAGCAGCCATCCAGCATCACACCCAGCGGCCTGTCCCAAAAAGACTGACAAGCTTGAACACGCTGCTTGGGCGATATTGGCTTGGCACCACATGCAAGAGCTGCCGTAAACTCTTCTCGCTTCAACTTTCTGCACCAAGCCCGAAGCCTACCACGAGTCATGCTTCCAACAGCCACAACTCACGAGGCCTCACCGTGGAAGGTTCGGCCTCCAGTGCTGTCCTCAGCTTCGTATGGGGGAAGGCAGACGATGGAGACTTCTTCTTCTTGCAGTGCACGGGCTCATGAGTCCACAACTCTGTTCGGCTTGCAAGGGCTTGCGGCGCTTGCGGCACTCCAGGGATCCCAAACTTTTGAGATTTCACATGCGCCGGAAGCTAAGAGCCTCGTGTGTTGAGGCCAGGTTTGGCTTCCGGTTACCTTTGGTACGGGACCAACCGAGAAAAACAAAAGGCTCTTGCAGGAACCACATGCTGAATGCTCTCCATCTCGACATCCACAGATCACTTCCTTGCGATCACGTCGCCAGAAAACCTGGTCAGCACGGTAGAAGAGGTCATAGAAAAGGCCTCGGAGGCCAATATCTGGCAATGGCTTGCTGCACGGACACTACCCGCAGCAACCCTGGATGTAAACCACTTCACGACAGTCTCTCAAACACCCAAAGATCCCTAAAGTCCCCGAATCTGAACCAAAACCCGAGCACCCAGAGCTTCAAAACATTCAACCCAGGACCAGACTCGGACATGCTTCTCCGCGGACCCGGGGAGCCAACCTTGCCCACACTCGCCGCCCACGTGGTAGGAACGGAAGCACCACTCGTCGGTACCTACGAACGGACGGAGGTTCCATGCCAGCGATCCCAAGAGCCCAGAGCCCAGGCGCACTGTCCAGGCAGCCCCAGGGCCCAAAGCCGACCCAGTTCCAGGCGCCATCGTCATCGAAGGTTGCATTCTGATTCACAGTTGGGCAAGGTCGAGGGAGACCGATGTGAAGTTGCGACGACGACGACGACGACGACGGAGACACTTACCGTTACAACCACTGTCTGTACATGTTACTGTTGCTCATGAAGACGATGCTGTTTTGGTAACGTCAATGTTGACGTTTATGATGCTGAGTTTGCTCATTGGTATTTTTCATGTCTTGCCGTCAACAATAAGGTGTTGGTGCTCATGGTGTTGCTGCTGCTGCTGTTCTTGTTGGTGTTGTTGCTGCTGCTGATGTTGTTGTTGCTGTTATTGCTGTTATTGCTGTTGTTGTCGTTGTTGCTGTTGTTGGTGTTGTTGGTGTTGTTGTGGCGGTTGCTGCCATGGTGCAGCGGCCATGGTGGCGATCACAGTGCTTGAGATTCCGATTATGAATGCTCGTGGCGGTTAATCATGCGCATCGTGTTTGAAAATGTTCATGAGTTATAAGTATCATTTACTTTCACCGGCACACGCAGTCTGTTTCCACCGTCGTCACCGCAGTCCTCATAACAAGCGCTCAACACCGTCCACATCAGCATGAATGTGGTCATCAACAATTGACAACACTGTCATCAAGCTCGTCAGCAGTGTGCTGTCGTCGTCTCTATTGCTTCTCTGCAATTGAAACAGCGGTTGTTAGCAAATGTTGGTAGTGCTGGGAACGACAGATGATTCCTTGCATCGCTGTTACCATGTGTGCTACATCGCTTCGAGCGCTCTACCATGCAACCAATTCACGCGACGTGCCATAGTACCTGGCTTCGTGTTGGCGTGTTTGGCCGTGCCCTTACACGAATATTCCACCACGAGAAAACCCCGAACCCGGCCAGCAGAAAGCGCTGCACAGCGCGGAGCAGCGCCGGCGAGGGCCGCAGGGCGAAGAAGGCGACGGTTAGCGGCCTTGGGCTTGGAATTTCACCTTCAAGAGGGCTCTCCGTTTTAAAAAAAAGCCCTTCCATCAAGAGCTACTTGCCAAGATCCAAGGTCCTTGCCCCAACACCAGGCTAGAAACAATCCGACACGGCTTCATCATGCCAACTTCACGAGACTACTTCTTAAAGTCTTCTGTCAAGTGCCTTGGGCTCGGCGTCCTGCCACACTGAAGCAGCAACACCTTAGAACCCTTATAGAGCCCTATCAAAAAATCGTCTTAAACCTCAACTCCCAGAAGTCCAGTTCCATGCAAAGGTGCTCGAAGCCGCCGTGAAGAGCCGAGGCCAAAAAGTAGCCCTCCCAGTGAGCTTTTCTCAGCAAATGTGGTATAACCCGATGTGATATCCGCCGACCCCTGCTGGGGCGGCGCCCAGAAGCTGCTCATGTAGCCGAAACTTCGAGCGAAACTCCCTTCTGCGTTCTGCCTTCCAACACTTTCTGCTGCACCACGCGGGCACTGGACGAAACTCATGCGCATCAAATAAATGCGGGAGCTATGTCCGGTCGAAACTTGCCGAGTGCAGTCTCTATTGAGTTGTTTAATTCCATCCCAATGCATGCCCAACCCCCCTCAACCCCCCTCTCGCCCCCCGAAACCCCCATCTGCCCCACAAAACCCTTTGGAACCCTGTTCAAAGCAGTAGCGGGCTTTTCTAGCTGTTTTAAAGCGTTTTATAGAATCTCTGTAGATTTGTTTAATTCCATCCCAAGGCATGCCCAACTCCCCTCTCGGGAAAGAAACCTCACTTGCCCCAGACAGCCCTCTGGAACCCGGTTCAGAGCAGTAGCGGGCTTATCTAACTGTTTTAGAGCGTTTGGTTAATTCCATCCACCAACCCCCCTCTCGTTCCCCGAAACCACCAGTTGCTCCACAAAGCCTTGCGGAACCCTGTTCGAAGCAGTAGCGGGCGTATTTAGCTGTGTTAGAGCGTTTTAACCCTAGAGAGTTGTTTAATTCCATCCCAATGCATGCCCAACCCCCCTGAACCCCCCTCTCGCCCCCCGAATCCCCATTTGCCCCACAAAGCCCTCTGGAACCCTGTTCAGAGCAGTAGAAACCTTCAAAACATGACATGGCGGCCTGAATTGTTTAGATGGCTGTACTCACCCCTAGCCTCCTAACGCCGACCCTTGCCGATGCCTTGGCATACCCTCAACCCTGCCGACCTAAGTTCCTCAACCCTAGGCTACCTAACGCCGACCCATGGCGCACCCTCAGCCCTAGGCTACCTAACGCCGACCCTTGGCGAACCCTTGTCAATCAACCCTAGACTACCTAACGCCGACCCGTGGTGGACCCTTGTCAACCCTAGCCTACCTAACGCCGACCTGTGGCGGACCCTCAACCTTAGCCTGCCTAACGCCGACCCTTAGCGAACCCTCAACCCTAGCCTAGCCTGCCCGTTGGCGAACCCTCAGCCCTACCCACTATCGAACCCCAATTGTCTAATCCTAGCCCTATCCCGAAGTCTGATATGATATGGTATGATACGGTGCTGTATGATGCTACTTCGATGTTTTATCCGGGCTGTGTCAGGATGTTGTAAGGGTTCCTGTAGGGCTTCAGGGTCGGGGATTCAATTTTTCCGGCGACTAGCAGCTGCAGCTTTGGATGTGCATCAAACCTTCAGGCACTAAGGGACGTGGGCTTGGGGCGCATGAGCGAGATTCCGGTTGTCGTTGAGGATGAGAAATCTGCCTTAGGGCCGTGGTGCTTTCTGAACGGAAGCTGAAGGACAGTAGAACCAATAAACTCTAAGATTCTCTAGTTTTCTTCGAAGGCAAAGGCCCAAAGTGCCAGCCTGGTACGCGCAGTTGAAAACCTGAGCTGCTCTGGCATTTGTGGTTTGGGGTCTTGGGCTAATCGTGATGGGTACTGCTAGAGGGTTCACAGCTGGTTTTGGGGCATTCAGGTCGGCAGCTGTGCCTCTGAATCAATCAATCTCCTCAAATCCTGTGCTTCACGGCCTAAGCCAAGATGCTGCTTCCAGGTGTGAGAAGTCCGGAGGGTTCACAAACCTGGACTTCAACGCACAGCAAGTTGACATATTTCCTAAACGAAGCCCCTCTTAGAGAGAGCGGAAACTCTGGGTCACACAGCAGCTGCTCCTGCATCTGCACATGCCCTTGACCTCAGATTCTGTGAAGGCACACATCCGTGTCGTAGAAGATAATCGCGTCATACTCAAGTCCCAGCGCATGGAGCTTGAAGAAGTCGCGATCGACACCTGCTCCCGGAAGCAAGGCTGCAGCTACACAGCAAACTCCCAGCCATAAAGTTGAAAGGCTGTAATCATAGAGCATCCATTATACTATCCTGGCGGTACGCAGCCAAGGGCTCGACAAGTCGTCACGCATCTGAACCCTTCGACGCGCCCAGATGAATCCCGAACAAGCCTATGGAAGTGAATATCACGGCCGAGCAGACTGAGGTCCCAGCACCATACTTGCTGAGCCCAGGAAGGGATACCTGTCAAAAGCGCCGGAACTTCATGGAAGCAAGAGCCTTTGCTTTCACCTCGCCTAAGATCCTAGGCACAAGGCGGCGGCCTTTGCCCAGCTCCGGCCGAATCCAAGGCACCTCTACGATGCGGACACCTGAGCTGGCGAGCTCTTCCCAAGAGTCCTACCAAAGCGGGGAGCAAGTGAAGCAAGTGAGTCAAGCCAGGGTCCCGTGCCCATCCGCATCAGGGCCGATCTTTGGGCCCCGGAAATTGGGTATCTTGCCTTGCACGACCGCGTGCTCGCTGCGCTAAACCCTAAACTACCAGGCACCATGACCTGTCTTTTGGGGTTTAAAGTTCAAGCTTTTCAGGTTTTGGAGGCGGACCATGCATCAAGGTTGACGGTTTGCTCGGAGAGCTGCTGTGGTGTCGTCCGGAAGAATCAGCACCACATCGACACCATTTGGCTCCGCCCACTTGCGCTGTAGGTGGAGTATGTAGGAGTCCTTCCGGAAACTGAACCAGGAGGCCCTCATGAAATGTGACGTAACAGACTGGAGGAACTCTCGAGCAACATCAACTTCATCAAACAAAGCAAGCATCCCAAGTCCCAAGGCAAATCTTCACAGCAGAGGCCGGCGGAGCCTCCAAATGATCCATCCACTCGGCTCTGCGCTGCAGATCGTCTGCAAAAACAAAGGCCCTCTCTCCGGGCTTAAACCTTGGCACCACGCCCGATGCTTTGGGCTTCCCCCCCCATTGTGGCCTAGAGTTTCCTGTGTTTGTGCAGGCTTCCATTCATTGAGGCTCACATGAAACCCAAATCATTCAATCCTGAAAGACAGAGCAGTCCTTCTCAAGTATATGCACCCAGAAGTACCGAGTCACTTGCGTGCCCTGCAAGCCTCTCGGGCAAGTGGATCGAAGCAGGGACCCACACGACCGGCGTATGAGCATCTGCCATCAAAGTCAGGGTCATGTTGTCGAACGTTGCTGTGACATGTTGAAGCCAATTACTGTTGGTAGGCTGTCGCCTGGGGATCAGCACGATTTGAGGCCATCCACGATGATGCTGCAATTCAGGGTCATGCACTTCCAGCCCACTGTCAAGCATAATCCTGCAATAACAACTCAGCACATATCTAATACTGAGAAGTTAGACACGAAGTGGGCTGATGCTGTACACGTTGAACCCTCTGCGGGGACAGTCTTAGTTGAGTTTGGTACCTGAAACCTCTTCCGATACCCTCTTCCGATATGGAGGGCGCCTGGCTGGCGGGCCCTGGAGCGGCGGGGAAACCAGCCGCTCGTCCGAAGCCGGACGAGGCTTGACCTCGGCCCGGAGGCCCGGAGGCCCGAGCTACAAGGAAGAGCTTCTTTCAGTTACCAGAATACAGAAACCATATATTATGTACATTTTCATCCCTATTATTATTGTACCTCTAAATACATCCCTTAACAGGAACCCAGGCTTGGAAAGGACAACCTTGATCTGCAGGCTCGGCCCCAGCAGAGAAAGGGCCAAAGGTCAGCTGTGGACGCTCCTCACCCCCATCTCCTGAACGAACGAGAAGCCCAGACTCACCGATCGAAAAGATGTAAGAATCTAAATCTTGGAACTCGAATCCCGACCCACAGCACTGTGTAAGGGAGGTGCCAGCAGGTAAAACAGATTGTCTTGAACCAGCTCGTCCGCCTGCAAGCCCTCGGCGTCCTCTTCCTCAAAGCTCGAACCGAAAGGGTTTTGGGTTGAAGTTTAAGGTATAAAAGCAAGGTCACACTTTGCACCCCTCATGCCGATGCCACAGCCATAGCGTGCAACGAAGAACTGCTTGTCCGAACATGAAACATCATGAAGCACACAGAGTCATGCTTTACCAGCCCATGGCTACGATCTTACAGCTCACTTTTTGGCACCCCGACTTTAGAGACGAATTTTTGAATTTAGCTTTCGGGATTTTGAGTTTGTGCTTTCGGGCTCTGTTGCGTCCGTGCGGCGAGGATGGGTGCAAGGCACCACTGAGGTTGGCCGCACCACTTCATGCAGTACATGAAATCTTCCTGTGCAATAGGCTGCACGGTTTATCACGCACCTCTGACAGAAGCTGCATGGAGACATGGTAGTCGGCCACTGTCATGCAACTGGCGTGGTCAAACTTCGGGAAAGGGAGTACCTCCACAGCCTAGTTAGTAGGGCCTAGTTCGACTACGCGTGCCCGAGTTCCCAGATCTGGAATTACGCATGACAGGACCCATGCGCCAAACGTCCACCAAAAAGAGCACAGTCCTCTGGGCCCGCGTTGTAGAACTGCACGCCGTAACAACCCGGATGGTGGCTGCACCACACCGATGCCTCCAAGCGAACTGGATGCACATGGGAGACTTGATATGTCAGCTTTAGAAAGGGCTGCGGCTCTTTCCTCATGAAACTCAGGCTCTTCGATTCAACCCTGGTCCATGCCTGTTGCACCTTCTCCACCATCTCCAAGTGATCCGGCAAATGCAAAGCGCTGAACATCCGCGTCTTGCAGCGCCAGCCCTGTCACACATCTTGGGGCTGCGGCTAAGGAGCTTGAGCACAGGGCCAGGGAGTGCGCTTCAACCTTGACTTCAGGGCTGCTCCAGCGGAGTGCCAGCATGGTCAACCTACGGAAATCCCGACAGCCTGCATGTGTCGAAACGTCGTCAGGACCTCGGTGCCAAAAAAGAGTTAGATTGAGAGTATGTAAGATCTAAACAGGAAAGTTGCTGCAGGCCCGCAGCAGTCTGGTCCTACATGTTGCCGAGTTTGCAACACATCTCGTGCATTCTCTTGCCGCATGTGAGTGCACTGAGACACGTGCCAAGAGCCGAGTCGAGACTCAGGTCCAAGCATTTGCAGTGTCCACGGAGGCGGTGACAGCCACCGAGCTCGGCGCCAAAAGAAGCGCCAACGAATGCAGGTTCATCGCCCCAGCGGCTCTGGCGAAGAATCAAAGATGCCGGTCATGGAGCCGGCGGCAACCCCAGGCGGTACCCAAAAAGTGGAACCGCAAGTCCTGGACCTTATCCCTGCTAAGGAACGGACTGCAGCTTGGCTCTTGCGAAAATCACGATAAATGCTCTGCACTAACTGGACCAAGTAAGCATCGTCTCTCTGCTACGCGGATTCCTGCTTAGAGCTGTCTCCGAGCGACCACACCAGCATGTCATGCTCAATGGGCGTGCTTGCTTTGCGATTTGAAGTCAAGTGAGGGCAGGAAACCATCCGATTTTGCCACGTTCGTGAATGCGAAGCTGCGACAGCATTCGACCGCTTAGCGGTGAGACCGTCCGCGTCTGTTCATTAGCACAAGCAGAGCATGTGACCAAGATTGACCAAGACTGCACGAAGACAGCGAGGTATGCGTGAGTGCATGCGTGAGTGCAGGTGCTACAGTCAACACATGGTTTCACGCTGTCAGCTCGCAGTGAATGGCCCCTTGGCCCGGATAGGATCTCAGAAGCCTGCGGAAAGACAGAGTGTGCGACGTGCACAGAGCACTGATAACTGCTTCAGTCAACATGGTATCCCTTATCAGCTCACCGTTTGCTGGGATTGCAAACTGCGCCCTGCCATGCCTGCTGCTTCCATCTCTGCCATCTCCCACATCTCTTTCCTCAGCTTCATGTCGAGGCTCTCCTCGGCCTTCGGCTTTGCTTTGGGAGTCGGCTTCTTGGAGCTCGCAGAGCTCCCTGCGGCTTTGGAGCCGCCCTTCCTGCGCTTTGCGGAAGGTCTGTGGCAAATGGCGAAACCGAAGGAAGAGCATCGCATCGAGAAGTGTTCATGAGGGAATCACTATCGGCAGATACCGGCTTTCTCCCTTGCAGGCAGCAGCTCTACCGCTTGGACCACAGTTGAGACATTTGCCCTGTAACCACATGGGGTCGAGACGCCTGCTTCACATGCAAAACTCATGCAAAACTCTCGGACATCTTGCCAAGCAAGCCCGGCATGTTCGCCCGGTGCTACCTCCTCGACTTGGGTTCACATGTCGAGAAATTCAATTGCAGCTCGCGCTCGCGCACATGCCCGGTGGCAGAAACCCAGTTCTGCAATCTGAAGCAGCCATGGCTCTTCTTTCGTCGCACCGGCTTCAGCTCCAACACATCAGGCTGCAGTGAGAGGAACTTCTGCAATGCAGTCCTGGGCTTGGCTTGGAAGCACAATTGTGGAAGGTACCCAAAACCCGACAACGCTCCGCAAACTCCTTGTCACCCAACCCTCAAGACCGTCAAGCTCTGAAGCTCTTTTCGTCTGCTACCGCTACCGAGAGTCACCGTCTGCTTCCCCAGGCCCGAGTCCAGGGCGCCTGGGTTGCAGCCGCGCTGCGTCAGAAACTTCCTCAGTTTGATTTGGGCGGGGACTCGAGTGAGAACGTTATCGAGGCTTCGAGGCCCAAGGCCTTCAGCTCTTTTCCGAAGTCCTTTTGAGGATCATACAACAGCCCTGCTAAGTGGAGCGTCTGGAGGGCCAGGATGGTCATCGCTCCCATCTCTCCGTCCTCCTTGCCTTGGGAACTCTCCGACTTCAGAGCGCATGGGCGAGCTTTAAAGGTACAAGGTCGGGGGCATGGACAAAAATACATTCTGCAGAAGTCCAAGTCCCGGCTGCCTTTGTACAATGACGGAAACTCGCTTTCGTCTTCGTTTTTCAAGAAATTCTGCAAGGCCATGGCCGACTTCTTGCCCCACTCGCCATCCGGCTTGCAGTCTTGGTCCTCGTCCTGCAAGAACTCCTGGAACAGTTCGGTGTTCTTACCACCATCCCGGACGCCTTTCTTGAAGTCTACGTCGTATCCAGCATCTTTAAGAAAGAGCTGCAAAGCTTTCTCTGTCGTGCCGCCCCAATCGCCGTCTTCGGTCCCGCAGTAGAAACCTTGGACTGCTCGTCATAATGCCACAAGGATAGGAGTCGGAGGATGCTTGTTCCAAACCTAGAATTTCGACTGCGCCTCGAAAGTTTTCACGTTCAACATGCTCGTGCAAAGAGACTGACAGGCGAGAAACCTTCCTGGTTCAGAAATTTCTGCAACGCCGTCACGGACTTCTTTCCAAAATCCCCATCCGCGGAAGACTCCAGAAGCTTGGGCATGGTTGGGAAAGCTTGGGCCGAGCAAGAATGCAAAAGCACACACAGCCCAACTCGAAAGCCATGCCCCACAACCGTGCACTAGTTGTGAGAGCAACGTACTACTTGTTAAAGCAACAGTAAACATGAAGACTAGCACCCTGGAGTGCAAAAACGTCCGCTTCATCATGCTTGCTGTACGCTTACTGAAATCGCTTGCACACCTGTGCCACAGCTGCCGTTGCCACGCCAGACACATGACACAATCGAAGGAACGCACTTTTATATTTTCTCAACAAGTGTAAAAACCCTCATCCACTAACTTGATGACACGAAAATGCCAAACGAAGAACGGAGCTTTTCCTGCACAAAACCTTTCTCATCATGTTCTCGAGCCCCGGCAAACCCAGAAGCCCGCGCACACTTCCACAAGACAACCTGCGATGTTGCATGCGTCCTGAAACAAATCCATCAACGTTTTCTCGCCCAGGTCGGGCTGTTGGGAGTTTGCAAACGTGGCCGGGTGTGGTCCAACCTGGAACCCCAAACATTACACAGCCGCCCTTACAGAGCCGCACCTGCACAGTGCAACGCAATCTCTACCGACACATCTGTGCTGCGAGAGCCGCCAGCTTTAAGGCCGGGGGGCCCATCCCAAACATTGGTTCGACCCAGAAATTTATTTTTCCAAACTGCGCGCTTGGTGTATCTTGCTTTCGACCCCGAAATGTTTCGTTTCGGCCTCCAGCTTTTTTCCAACCCCCAGGAAAAAGGCCACGATCTTTTTCGATCTCTAAAGTCTGATTTAAGCAGTCTTTTTTCGGCCCCGACGCATTTCGTAGCTGACCCCGGGTTTGTTTGCCCCTGAGCATCCGCTTCTGAGCCTCCACGGACCTCTGCTGACATTAAGACGCGTACACACGACATGACAACAAGCGAAGAAATGCCCAAAAAGTCTATATGATCAAATTTTGCATTGCAAAATCCACAAAGACTCTCTCATCCACGGCAATACGTGGGCTTGTAACTCGCAAACCTGGCGTTCATAATTTTGTCACACAAACACCAAAACCAAACGACTTCGTTTTCTAGAGGGTTAAAACGGTTAAAAACTAAGAAAAAATAGTATTGAATCATAAAACCGATTTAAACATCATTTTCAAGCTCGCAAACCAATACAATCGGATTCACGTTCAAAGATCAATGTAGGACTTCGCAAGCGTTATCCCAGCTTCCCAATATGGAGCCTGCTCGCAAAATGTTTTGTTTGCGGGAAACTTGAAACAAAAAACCAAACCCAAAATTGAAACATCATCGCTTGGAGCGGGTTCTGAGTTCAAGCCAAAAGCAACGTCACTGCATTAATTTTAAGCTTCTGGTCACAAACTTTCAACCCACGTTGGTTGCTTGCATGTCTCGCAAGGCCTTCAACCACGTCTCTTGCTTTGATTTTGGGGCTGGTTCCCTGGAACCCCTTTGGGGGGTGGCTGCAAGCCCTTCAAGGGCCTGAAGGGCTTCGAAGGGGGGTGAAGGGGGGAGGGGGGGGTGGGGGGGCTGAAGGGAGGAAGCCCTTGATGAAAAATTCCAATAGCGTTTCGAGAATCTCCAGGAGTGTGCAATAATCAAGCAACAACAATCAAACGGAAATCTCAATCTGCTCCAGAATGCAATCACTCGGTCTCAGACTTTTGTCTGGATGCAATGAGCCAGTGTTGAGCCAAGGCCAACTCGTAGGCATTGTGTCTGGGGTCCAATATGAGCCGGAGAATGACCATGCAATCTAACACGGTCCCTTGATTGCGACGTGGTACGTCGACAATCACAGCTGCACAATCTCCGCTCACTTTAGTGTTCTATACTCGCAATAAAGCAGCAGTGAAACAAAAATTGAATCAATCAGGTGCGAATCAAATGAATAACGCAATCAGTCTACCAGCTTCAAACGCAATGAAGAACTTGTTGAAAATCATTCGAACCACCATGGCTCGTTTCTCTCTACTGCACTTACGTACTGCACGCGACTGTTCTCACTTGTTTGGGTGTTTCTTGCTACGACTGTGCACAAAACGTAGAACACAAAACGTAGAAGGGTTTCCGCTTTCTGGACACTGTGGCTACCTTGGGACTTTTCGTCTCCGTTCTTGCTACGGTCTTTTACCAAGGTTTTCTGCGGAAATGTTTCCCTTCTCTGTACAAAGGGCTATGTACAAAAACTATGTACATCTACTTCTAGTTACGGCACAGCCTATGTGCTCTTTGTGGGGAGGCGCGTACCCCAGTTTCTCTCTTCCCTTACTTAGCCTACGGGCTTTTCTTTTTTCGGGCTTCTTGTCTTCTGTTGGCTCTTCAGGCTTCTTGCCGCTTCTGGCCCTTGTACCTCCTAACCTGCCTCTGGTGAAACTTCTTGCTATGTACCTACTGTACATTCTTGATACAGCTTCGCGGTTCAAGAAAACTCTTAGTCACGTGTTTCGCGGTGACTTCGCAGGATGTATTGAGCTTCCTGCTTGACAACAAAAGGGCGTAGTGCTCGTTGTGCTCTTGCTTCTCGGTACATACATGAATGTACAAAAACATGCAAAGCTGTGGCGCGTAGCTTCTCTGTACAGTTTCTGGCTACTTGCTAAAACTCGCTGCAACACTTCTCTATACAAATATACAGGGCATCACTGCATGTAGTCGTCGACCCTGTTCTCGCTACTACTGGTAGCTGCCTCTGCGTTCGCTCCACGTGGAACCTCTTGGCGGCCACGTCTGCTTCCACTTTCCGTCTTCCCAGACCCAACAGTCTCCTGTTGCTGAGTCCCAGTACTGCTCGCCTTCCCACTGGTCTCCGTGAACGTCTTGCGTCTGGTCTTCTTGCTGCTGAGGTTCTGGCTGTTGAGGTTCTGGCTGCGTGGGACTTTGCGTCCAGTTGGTGTCCGGGTAGCACGACCATCCACTGTGGTCGTAGGGCGCTTCTTGCTGCTGTTCTTCTTGTCCGCGGTGACGTTCTTGTTCCGGTGGGGTCTCGCTGTTCTCGTTCTCCTGAGCGCGTCTTCTTGCTTCTTGCTTACTTATCCACTCTGCTGACTCCCACTTCCCGGCACGCTTAAAGTGCTCGATCTCTGCTCTCCACACAGTGTAGCCCTTCGCGAAGTGGTCAACATTCTCGCTTCCCTTCTGGTCTGCTCTCAAACACTTGTAGAGTCCTAGATCCTTGTTGTACATCCATATGAATCCTGCTTCTGTGAACGTCACACAGTTGTTGTAGCCTTTTCCTGTTGTGTTTCCTTTCTTCTTGCTTCCTTTTTCTCCTTCCTTCTGCTGCTGCTTGCCTTCTTGCTGCTGCTGCGGCTTTCCTTCTCCTTTGGGCTGCTGCTCTTCTCCTTTTCTTCCTTTTGGCTGCGGCGGTGGATGCTTTCCTTTTCCTTTCTGCTGTTCTGGCTGCTCCTTTCCTTTCTGCTGTTGCGGCCGCGGCTGTGCGTCGCTAGGCCCGCTAGGCCGCTAGACCCTCTGGCTTCTGCGTCTCTGCCTTCTTCCTGCTGCCTTATTTCATATTTCTTCTTCCTTCTTCGACCTAATCATGGCGTTCCTCATGTCTTCTGCATGCTGATCTGCCGCTCTTTGGTACTTCTCCTTGTTCTCCCTTTCTAGCTTCTTTGCTGCTTCCTTGCTCTTTGCTTCCTCCTCAATCAACTTGTCCAGGTACTCCTTCTGGTTCATAACATCCTGAAGCTTTTGTTCTGCTTGCTTCCACTCATCACGCATTCTCTCTGCTCTCCTGTTTGCATCTATCATCTTGCTGTTGGCGTAGTCTCTCTCTGCTTTCGCTTCTCCCAGAGCTACTTCTCTTTGCGCAACCAACTTCTGCAACGCGGTGATCTTCTCCAGGAGGTCGTCGGTTTGACCTGCCAACATCATCAACCTTTCGCTACTATCTCGTCCTCTTCTCTCTTCTTCGCTTCTGCTTCTTTGGCCTTAGTAACTTCTTCACGCTTTGGAACTTCAGCTAGCTTTCTTGCTGCTGCTTCGAAGCTGTCGTCCTGCTGAAGTGCGTCAGCAAGTCCGCGTAGACTTTGCTGCTCCTGGGCCAGTGCTTCTCTTCTTCTTTCTTCTCTCTCCTCTTTTTCTATTCTTGCTTCCTCCTTTCGCCTTTCCTCTTCTTCCTTCTCTGCCTTTTCCTCTGCTAACTTCTTCTCCTGGGCTTCCTTCCTAGCTTTGTCTTCTTCTTCCATCTGCTTGGCTTCTTTGGCTTTCCTGGCGCTCTCTCTCTCTTCCTCTTCTCTTCTCCTCTCTTCTTCTGCTTTCTTCTTTCTTTTTGTGCTTTCTGAACTTGTGCTTCCCTCGCTTTCGTCGCTTTCCTTCTCCTTCTTTCCTTTGGCCTTCTTCTCTTTCTGTCTTCTCTTCTTCTTGTCTTCTTCTCTTCTCTTGGCTCTTGCTTCAGCTCAGACACAACGTAGACCAACAAAACAAGCACGCACACCACAGTCACTGCAAAGAGTACTCCCAGGACACTGCCGCCGTTGTTCTCGTTGCCGGCGGGTGTTCCAGCTCCTGTGCCGTCCATGGCGGCGACGAACAGGGAAAACCTGGCGTTCCCGCTGCTCTCGAGGCTGTTCTGAGGCTGCGTGGCATCAACATGTTCTCGCTTCACTGAAAACTCTGAGTCCACACCTTCTTGCTTCAAACCATCACTGACAGGGCAAAACATGCTAACTGCAAGCGTCGCAAAGGTTTTTGCTACTGCGCTGTTGGTTCTTGCTGCAACTCTCCTCAAAACAAGACTGCGTTCTGCTTCTTCTCGCTCCATGGTGCCAATGGCATCACGGCCGTCACGAAAACCTAAAGGTTCAAAAGAAGTCTCAACCTTCCAGCTCCTAAAGCCTTCGTGCCAACGTCGCTCCGTTTCATCATGGTCGGAACTGCACTGATCGTGACCATGCCCGACTTGACACACTCCTGAAGCCACAACATGCGTGTTTGTATGTGCTTGCTTCTTGAACCAAGCCCACTTCTTGCTGCAATGCCTCTTGCTGCACTGGAGTCTGTGTACGCTTTGAGGACTGTACACTGTACGCTTCTTGCTGCAAAACTCGCTGCCTCTCGAATCGCAAGCGACTCGCTAACGCCACCAGACAGAGCATAATACTCTGATTCTCCAGATGACAAGGAGATAGTCTTCTGGCTACGACTGTAACTGTAGCAGTATTGGCCGTTGATAAACATCACAGCACACGAAACAGACTTTCTTGTTTCTTTGTTGCCTGCCCAATCTGCGTCTGTAAAGACTTCCACCAAATTCTCTTCTTGCTGCTGAGGCTGTGGTTCTTAAGGGTGTCGGTGGAGTGCTGAGGTTCCTGCTGCTTTTGGGCTGTAGCACACGGAGTAGTCTGCTGTCTTCTTCAAATACAAAGCACAGTGTACAAGTTCTCGCTGCTTCTTCTTGGTTGGTGACTTCATGCCAGTGCTCAAACTTCTCACTGCAAATTGTATATCAAGTCGATCTTGAGCAATGTAAAGGAGGATACCAACGCAACTCCTGTAAGTGCTTGCTTCGTGTTCTGGTAGTTCCTGGCTGCTGTCTACCTCTGAAACATTTCCAGGCGCTGGCGATGCTTTCTCTTTTCTGTTGCCCAGGTTGAGCAACGCAAGCAACTTGGTCACGTACTTCCCGTCAGGGCGCACGAAAAGTCTCCCAGAATCGTAGCAAAACTTTCTCTTGAGAAAACGCACTGTGTTCTCGCTCCAACCACGGTTGTAGTCGTCCTGTGTGAGGAACGGTCCTTCGATCTGAAGCTTCACTCTTGCTCCAAGATTCTTGAGGACTGGAGAAACGTCCTTGGGCAAACCTGCAAGCTGTAGGTCTCGTTCTTGATCAGGCGAAAAATTGAGGGATTTGCGACACTCCTCTCAAAACCTTCTTGTTGCAAAAGATCACTGCAAAAATCGCTCCAAAGTAAACTTGCATCTCGCTGCCCAGGCAAACTCTCTTCAACCTCCATGCCTTTTCTTGCTTCTCTGAAACTGCGCTGCTTCCTTTCCCGCGTGGCACTTTGCACTTCACTGCTCGCTTCTGTGGCACCTGCAGGAAAGCGTCCTTGATACCAAGGCTCCAAATTGACCAGCCATTGATCAAGGCCAACATGGGAATCAACTTTGTGATGCTTGGAGAGGTTGCCGGGCTGAAAATGTCTTCTCGCTTCGAGTTGTTGTACTCACGAGCGACGAGTCTCGCTCTTCGCTGCCACACTCTCCTTGGCTTCAAACTTTCTTGAGGAACTGCTTTAGCCGCTTCTTGTTCCGAAATGACGTTCTCTGCTTCACGAAAATGCCAGTCGAACACTAGCTTCGTAGTGAGCCAGATGCTCGTGTCATCTGGTTACTGGAGGTCAACTTCTTCGGTCACCTGCATCTTGGTGAGTCTTGTCACTTCTTTGTCCACCGCTTCATCGTCGATCTCTTCCAGCTGCTCTTCGCTGACCTGCGGTAGTCCTGCTTCCTCGTTGAAAAACTCTTGAGGTAGGACACGAACAGGCTGTTCTTGCTTCTCGCTGGGTTCGAGGTCCCAGTCGCTCTCTCCTTCGCTTCCAGCTTCATATTCTTCATCTCCAAGCCATGCTTCGTCGTCTGAGTGCTCGTCGTTGTCCGGAAAGTTCTCTGCACGGAAAACTGAAACCAAACCAACTGTTCTCTTTGCCATCTTCGACGGTGAACCGACCTCTTCAAAGTCAGGTCTCTCTTCTCTTCCGGCAAGAGGAATCGCAGTGGGCTCTGTGACCTCGGTGTCTGCAACTTCTTGCTCACGTCGAAGCTCTGACAACAAAGTGTCGTCTGGAACAAGATGAGAAGTTTCTTGCTCCGGGTCCGAAGGTGGATCCGACGCTGCTTCGTCGGCAAGTGCGTCTTCAAGTTGCTTTCTTTCTTCACCGTCAACAAGACTAGGAACAACGACTGCTGGCTTCTCAACCTTCTTCTGTGGCAAAACTCTGCTTTCTACCACGTTGGGTTTCACTTCTCAGGTGTTCACCTTCACGTTCTCGATCGCCTTCGCGCTGTAGGTCTCTCCAAGGGACCGCGCACTTCTTGCTACGTGGATGCCATCTTGCTCTCGGTCTTTCCCAGGAAGACACCCGGCGTCCACAATCTGTCTCCTTTCCGCTGAGGTCTCAGACGCTTTGTCATAACACTTGCTCCGAAAGGAACGAGCTCGCCTCTGAAAGGCATTCCTGCTACTATCTCATACGCTGTGCGACCTGTGTTCGCGCTCCTGTGAAAGCGATTCAAGAGCCAACAGCTGTGGCGAAATGCCCAGCTGAACATCGCATGGTCATGCGACAAAGTGAGTCCATTCTTGCTACGAAGCTCATCGAGCAACGTATTGGCGTGCCTTCTCACTGTTTGTATTGTTCTTTCTGCAAGACCATTTGACTCTTGGTCGTGTGGCACCGAATCCAAGCTGGTGGTCGAAAGACCCATGGCACCACGCATCTTGGTGACTGTGTTCTTGAGGGCTTTGCAGACACCTTCGTCGTTCAGGAAATACAAGCTCAACTCGTTGACGACCGCACTCGTGAAGCTGCTGAGGTCAACGACCCCGTGGTGGACTGATTGCGTCGACAAGGTGGCTCGGTAACAAGGCAGAGTGCCACAATAACTGGCTCATGTGTATGTGTTGTCGGTGATGTGGCCTCGAGTCTTATTAATTTTGGAGGTGTGGCAATGCCATTGTCCGCCTTCAGGTTCACTTCTGAACACCCAAGCTGAGTACTCATAGTAGTGATTGCTTCGGCCATATGCTTCAGGCTTGTTGGTCCACCACGTCTTGCTACTGGAACTGCGCATACATACTTGCTCCAGGCATCGCATGCAATGAGTGCAACCATGCTCGGTGCTTCTGAGGTACTAGTTGCTGTGTAACAGAAGTCGGAGGCGATGGCGGATTTCCTTGCTTCTTCTTGTGGTGCTCGAACAAGTTCGCTCTTCTTGCGGGCATTCTCCTTCGCTCTCATTGACACACAGTACTCACACCACGGTGCAAACCTCAAATGTGTGAGGCTGTGAAGATCCACTTCTCGCTGGTCTGGCTTCTCGCTGCGGGGGCGCAACAGTGGCGCAACTTCTTGCTCGAACTGCTTCTGGCTAGCTAAAAGTCCATGTTCGGCTTCACGTTCATGCGCTGCAGGAGAAAGTCTCTTCAAGATCTGCTTCTTGCTGCCAGTTGTAACAACACCAAACTCGCGACAAAGGTCTCGAAGAATCTTCAGGCTGCTTGTAGTGTTGTACTCGTGGCCCTCATACACAAACGTCTCTGCATCTAGCTCCACAATCTCTTGTGGTGGTTCTCGCTCTTCTTGGTCGACTTCCATGAAAGCTTGCTTGTCTTCTGCTTGCTTCTTCTTGATCTTCTCTTGCTGCTCTCTAGTTTCTTGCTCAAACTGCGTGAGGGGCTCTTTGAGGCGAAACCTTGTTTGTCCGCACCACGAAAAAATGACAATGCCTCCGCTGTTGGATTCGAATCCAAAATCCAGTTGTCCTCTCTTCCTCGTAGATCTCTGTTGAGTAAATGCACTCTCCTGCAGTGCACCTCCACTCTGTAAGGTTCTCAATATCTGTCGGGCAACCTGGAACACCAGCGGGACAAAACTTGTAAGTTTTTGGTGTGTTGTGGTACCGGACAATCTCGCTGCCATCTTTGCTCACTGCCCATGTATCTGTAGATCTTTTCTCTTCTTCTATTCTCGCTCCCTGTTCTTTTGGAACTCCAAGAACTCCAAGTGGGATCACACGTGAAGACAAAGTGGTGAACACTTCATACTCCCCGCCTTCAACAATATCCTCAAACGGTTCTTGCTTCTGGCTGTAGCGTTTGCAAACTTCCACTGCTTTCCAGGTTCCATCTTCTTGCTTGACGACGGTGCTTCTGTAAGGACAGCTCTCTGCGCTGAACACCGCGACGGAGAGTAGCGCACAACAACCACAGAGTCAGTACTGTGCCAACCAGGAGAATCATTGTCAACAGCTTTCGAGATATGAGAGTTCAGCTCGATCACGGTCCTTATGTGTTCTCTCTCCATGTCCACATCAACTTCTTGCTCGTAGCTGTTTCCTGCTTGTAAGTAGGCGTGAGTTCTTGTGGTAGTGCACAGGAATCCTGGAAGTTCCGTCTTTGTCACCAAGGTAAAGTTGACCATCACTGTTTTCTAGCTGCCAACCATCTTGAAACAACTTTCCAACTGCAAGCAAAGGGTTCACAACCTTGGCAACAATAAATAAAGTTCTCACGAACTTTCACAGGATCACCATCAGCTCCAAACATGGTGAGGTTCAAGCTTCTTCTTCCTGCTACTTCAATCTTCTTTCCTTGTGCATCTTGAATCCCTGCTCCTTTCTGCTGTCTCGCTTCAACTCTTTCACGGGGCTCGCCAAGTAGAAATCTTCACTCACCACACGAACGTAGTTACGTAGTTTGTACTTTCTTGTTCAGGTTCTCGCTCCTCAAGCAACCACTGCATGACAGAGTCGTTCTCACTGCTCTCTTCTTCACCTTCTGAAAGCACAAACTCCTCAACGCGTAGAACTCGGTCAAGCTGTTCTTCTGGGTTCTCTCTTTCTTGCTCCAACAACCAAGGCAAAACTTCAGTGTTGAGCCAACCTTCGACTCGGCCAGCAACGTTACCAGGTCCTTCTTCTAGATCATCACGCGCTAGGACAATCTGTCTCACAGTTCGAGGTTGTTGTTGTTGAGGTTGCTGCTGAGGCTGCCTGCTCACACTGGTGACTTCCGTAGAACCAACGCTCGGTGCTGCTGTGCTGGGTGCTGCTGTACCTTGTTGGTCCTCAGGAACATTCCTGGCATATCCTTGCTGCATGTCTCGCTGCTTCTGTCTGCACGTTGCTTAGTAGTGGCCCATACGTCCACAGTAGTTGCACGCACCGTTGTTGCCGTAGGTTCCTTTCCCTTTGCCTTTGTCGTAGGAGCTCTTGCCATAGCCTTTGCCACGGCCTTTTCCTTTTCCTCTTCCTTTTCCTCGACCTTTTCCTTTTCCTCTTCCTTTGGGGGCACCAAAGCAGTTGCCTCCTCGTCCTTTTCCTTTTCCTTTGCCTTTTCCTTTTCCTTTACTTTTGGTCTCCAATCTCCTTTTCCTTTGCCTTTGACTCTTGTGACATCCATGTCTGCTTGTCCTCCATGATCCTTTCCTGATGCTATCAAGTCTGTTGTTGTCCACCTTGCGTTCTGCTTGTAGGTCAACAGAAACTCGCGTACTTGCTGGTACTTTGTGTCTGCCTTCATCCCCATCAGGAGATGCTGCTTCACTTGTCCTTCTTGGTTGTTCATAAGGATGGACAGTTTGAGGTCGTCTTGCACAAGGTCTCCAGAAGCCTTCTCGTAGTTGTCGATTGTTTCCTCTAGAGCGAGGATGTTCTCAAGGACTGTTTTCTTGCTATTGAACTGGTACTTGGTGACGTGCGCAAGCAGGTTCAAGCTGACGGCCTCTAGTGAAAGGCTCGCGTTCGGTCAACAACGTCCGCCATGCTTCCCATCCGTTCTCCTCTGGGATCTGCTTCATGGTACGTAGAGGTCTTCCTTTGGTATACGACGTCAGGATTGTAACCAGTTTCTTGCTGCTGCTTTGTTCTTCGGGACTCAACCTCCTCATGTGTACTTCTTTCTCTCTATCGTTCTCGACCTTGTCGGGAGACGCCACCAGCTTGGGGTCTAACGCCCCTAAACCAAGTACGCAAGCGATACTTAATCGTTCCATCCTTCGCGCTCCTCTTTGTAGCTGCTTGGTGCAAAAACTTCTGGGTTCTTGATCATCTTGTGCAACTCAACCTCGCCTATTGCTCTGCTCAGCGTAGACACAGGCGATGCTGTGTGTTGTACTGCTTCGCTTGCTCTTGTAGCTGCCTGCACAGTGTTGGAGAGAATCTCTCTCAGTTCGGTTGCTTGCTGCTGAGTTGCTGTGCTGCTCGTTGCTTGTTGTTGTTGCTGCTGCTGCAGAACGTTGGCAAGTGCTTGTATCTGGGCTGCATTTGCTTGTGGCTGTTCCACCAAAGCTTGAAGGGCTTGTTCCATTCCTTCTGCGACTTGCGTGTTGGTGTAGAACAGCACAATGAACAACAAAGCACGCGACTGCAACCGACATGCACATCTCCTGCGATAACGCTGCCGTCTTGACACTCGCTTCTCGCTCAACTCTTTTCTCTTTGCTGCAACACACACGTAGTGTAGGAAGATCCAAGCAATCATACCTGCGGGTGTGTACAACATCATCAGGCTCACGTAGGCGAATTCTTTCTGCTTGTGATACATCACTGAGATCTCAGGGCCGTAGCTCGACTCAAGGCTTTCTATAGTGTTCTTGATGTTGTACATAATCGTTGCATAGGTCTCGACAAGAAACTCTCTATACCTTTGTGACATGGTACTCTTTCTCGTAGTTCTTGTACACGTCGAACACATAGTTCATGAGTCTTGGTTCTTCATAGCGTATTGGGACTTGAGGTAGATGACGATACATGCTGGTGGCCATCAACTCCACATGCTCACTTTCTTCTTCATGCTCTTTACGAACTGGTACTTCTTCTTGCTTCACCAAAACTGTTCTTCCTCGGCCTTGGGTGTCCTCGACGTAGACATCCTCCAGGGTACTCTCCTTCTCGCTGCCGTCCTGGAAGGCAATTGCTTCTTTTACCACGATCGTGTAACTCTTGCTGTGCACTTCTTGCTGTACTGTGGGAACCGAGGGTACTCGCACTTCTCGCACAAAGGAGACACCTCCCTTCTTCAACACCACGAACCAACCTTCTAGCAGCAAAGCTCCAGCAAAGGTCAGTAGCAAACCACAGCAAGTCACTCGCATCCAGAAACCACAACCAATCAGGTCTGCTAAAGTTCTCTCTGTGGTAATTCTTGATCCACGAATAACCAAACCATCTGGGAAGCAAAACTTGCAACCTGGCAAAGAACGTGACTGGCTCCGGTTCGTTTCTGAGTCCAGGGCAATCTCGAAGCTTTTGGGCACATCCCTGGGACTGAGCGATGATCAGCTCTGCAAAACGCGACTCATCCTTCGGGTTCAAGGTATTTCTCACTGCGAACAAAACCTCTTTCAACAGCATGAGCGCCATGGTCATGAGGCTCGCACTCATCAGCACAAGGCTTACTGCAAGGCACATATCTCTCACTATCAAACCCAAAGTTGCTGAAAGCGTTCTTGCTGCTTGCCATCATGTACTGGAAAAACTCACTCGCGGCGCTGCCATCGTCACTGGCTGTGGAGGTTCCAGCTACAGCAGACAAAAGCTGCAGAAGGGCGCTGGCCGCCAACATGGATCGCATCATCGCTCCCTGGGATCGTGGGAGCTCCGCTACACCATGTTGAAAATCATTCGAACCACCGTGGCTCGTTTCTCTCTACTGTACTTACGTACTGCGCGCGACTTTTTCTCACTTCGGTCCTGAGCCACAGCCTTCCGGGTTCGCACTGCTTCAGCTCGTGCTTGGACACTTCCTACTGCACCACTACTTCCATTCTCTATACAGTACACGGTACACAGTGACAGTCTAACAGAACTGCTCTGGCAATCTCACTCTTTTGCACTCCGAACTGGGCAATGTCATGCGGTCAACCAATCTCCAACTATGTGCAATCGTCATCCAGGAAACACTGTCTCCGTCGGTTCATCGCAACCATAGAGAAGAATGGAATCGGCAATCAATCAGCAGTCTGCAGCAATTGTCCAGCGCTCAATCCGAGCATCATGTTGCCAATCGCTGTTGCAATTCCCGAGCAGAAGATCAAAATCAATACTGTGGGTCAGCCAAATGCTGACGAGCTCTCAATCAGAAAGAGGCAGCAGTCCCATGCTCCTCAATCATGAGAGACGCAATCCATCTGCGTCTGGGCCAATCATGCCAATCACTGTTGGCCTTTGCGTTTCTTCGCAATGGTGGCAGCCGTTGCCAGCATGACTGAATACTCCTGCTGGGTCAATGACCCTGCGGACGAGCTTGAATCGCCCAATAGGTCAGCCTCAGCAGCAATGTCATCTGCTGGAACTTCTTCACAATTCTCGGTCAATAGACTCAGCTCTGGAATTCCCTCAATCTGCATACTGCTCAAAGGGAACGAGCAATGCCTGTGCAATGCCTCTGTTGGCATCCAGTTGCTGTACGAGGAATTGTGAATCAATGCGCATGCCTTCTCAACAGTCAATGAGGTGAGCTCCAATATCACGCAATGCTGTCGGCAAACGGCGGGGAGACAATACTTGTACTCACCGCCAGTCGCGTACGACGAGTCAATCGTCATACACCAGCTGCAGCCCAAAAAGCTGCAATTATGAAACTTCTTGAAGCCTCCAATACCGGTTTCGGTTTTCAATCGCGTATCCGCCATTTCGCGGGTTCGCCTGAACACCAATATCTTGACAAGTTCATCTATCTGCCCCCGCGAAAATCTTGATTGTCGGTACCAATGAGCGAGTTTTCGAAGACTCGCTTCAATGGTAAACTGTGGGTTCAATTGCCCAAGCGGTGTGGGAATGGTCGCCGTTTGGCCACTCGCCAATTGCTCCACCGATGAAGATGGCAAGGCAAGGCAAACGAACCAATCCACCAATTCATCCACTTGCTTGTATTGACGAGCCCTGTACAATGTAATCGCGACAGATGTCGCGAAAATTTGCTTCAATGCCCAATGGCACTCCATCACACGATCCAGAATCAAGAATGAAAGGTCCAATGTGAACGTTGGAATCTCATCATCAGATCCAATGGTCATCCTCGCAACACAGCTGTTGCAGACATGAATCAATGTCAGGATTATGACATTCGCGAATCCGCAATGGGATGAATACCCATCGGGCACCATCACGCGTGCCCAACGGTTGTTCACCAACCATCCAAGTTGCAATTCAGATGGCACCACCTTGCCACTGAATCGTGACACTTGCTGGCAATACGTTGTCAATCCGCTCTGAATCAGGTCAGCAATCTGCAACATGGTAGGGCAATCCAAATGCACAATGCCTTCGTTCAAGGTCACATCGCAGTAGTGGTCAATCGTCTGTGCAACCTCGATCAATGCAGCGCGCCACTGTTACAATGTTACAATTCAAGTGTTGCAGCAATCATGGCAATGCGCGAAAAGAAAATGGTAAAAGCCTCTCTCAATCGCGCCAGAATTGTCCTTTCTGCCCAGCGCAATTGGTTCATCGGCTCATGCACATGACTCGCAATCTGACTGACAATGTTCTGGAATTGCTCCAATGGCGTACCCTGAGGCAATGTCGTCGGTGGGGCACCGACATTGAACCTACTAGCTTCACCCTGGGCCCTCGGTGAAATTGAGATTGGCTTAAACGGCCTTGTACAAGGCCTTCCCCTGGCTCCGGCGGTTTTTCGCTTGAAAACACAATAAATCCGGAGCCGGCCCTGTCACCGGCGCTTTTTTCGCTTCAAAACAAAATAAAACAGGAACCGGGCCTCGTGCGTGTTTCTTTTTCTTTCAAAATAGCCAAAACCAGAAGTTGTGGCCAGCGAAAGAGACCCGACAGGTAGCAAAAAGCTGGCTTGTGGGTAAAATCTCGCTTCGGAACGGCTTATTTCGATTGCATGTCGGCTTGGGGACAGTGTCAAAGGCAATTTAACACAAATACAAACAAAACCAAAATCCAGGCCAGCCAAAAGGAACCGACAGGTAGCTAAATCTGGCTTGCGGGTAAAGTCTCGATTTGGAACGGCTTGCTTCGATTGCATGTCGGCCTGGGGCTTGGTGTCACAGCCAATTTCAACACAAATAAAAACAAAAATCACACTTGCATAGAAAATAATATTTTGCCGGTGCCATTTCGCTTCCCCTCGCAAGGGTACTGGACCACTGCGCCACGATGAGGCAGGTACAGTTTGCAGCAAAAAAAATCTTGAGGCTTCGTGTTGCGCCTGGAGGCAGTGCCTGAGAATTAATTATTCATTAATTGTATTTTATTCTTAACCAAAAATTCTCAGCATGACTGTTCGTGCATTTGTGCCGCCGGCAAGTCTTGAACAAATGTTGGGTGCCACTTAGCTTCCCTCGCAAGGGTACTGGACGACTGCGCCACGATGAGGCAAAAAACCGTTGCAGAGCTTTTGTAGCAGCCTCAAGGCAGCGCCTCAACGCAAAATGCCTGTGAAACAAAACAGTTCTTTAAAAGGCATGGGTCGCTTAAGCACAAGGTTGTAGGAAACGCAGAGCCTTACAGAGCCACTTCCTTCTGCCCTCCGGATTCCCCTGCGTTGCACAGCACCTGTTTTCGTAGTACCCACCAGAGCATCCAAAGCCACACGCGCACTGCTTTTTGGAAACGCGCCACCACGCAGAAACTTCTTGAGCTGCCAGAGAACACTTTGCAGGTTTTGCGCGGGCTCTCTGCCTGCCCGCGCAATCCACGAACCAAGTATGCTTCGAACAGGGGCACAAAATTGCAACATTGTGTGACAGAGCTACACGGCAGCACAGAACAATCAGAGATCAGGGAGCACTTTGAAGAGCGACTGGCTTGGTTTAGGGATTCAGGTTTAGGATCTGGGGCCGAGGGTTTAAGCCCTAAGTCTATGACCTGGGATCTCGGGTCTGGGGGCAAGGGTCTCGCGTGCCCAAGTGAAGGACACTTTATGTCCACTGCACATCTGGCCCAAACTTCAAAACATAAAACTTGCACGACAGAGTCACATGAAATGATATGAAATGCTTTTAGCACCCCCAAAAGCACCAATAGCCCTCAAAAACCTGTGAAGCTCATGAAAACCACAAAATCTCACAAAAACTCATGAAACACCACAAAATTTCACAAAATCTCATGAAACACCACAAAATTCCACAAAATCTCGTGAAAACCCAACAAAATTCTACAAAAATCTCATGAAACACTACAAAATTTCACAAAATCACATGAAACACCACAAAATTTCACAAAATCTCATGAAAACCCACAAAATTTCACAAAACAGCAAAAACAACACAAAAGCAATGCGGAAGTGTCGCGGAAGTGTCGCGGAACTGTCGCGGAACTGTCGCGGAAGTGTCGCGGAAGTGTCGCGGAACTGTCGCGGAAGTGTCGCGGAAGTGTCGCGGAACTGTCGCGGCACATGCCTTTGCCAGGTCTCAGGGCCCTGCCCCCTTTGTCCTCTTTGGTTTTGCAATTTTTGGCCGGGATCGGCCCGTTTTTGCTGCTTTTGATGAATTCATAGCTCTTTGGGCTGGTTTCTGGTGATTCTGCACGTTTTCTGTTGATTCTGCACGTTTTCAAGCTTTTTTTAATGTTTTCTCATTGTTTTGCATTCTTTTTGTACGATTTCTCTGTTTTTCGGGCTGCTTGCATGGCTTTGCGCAAATTTCAATATTTTGCGGTATATTTCGACTTCTTTATACTTGTTACCAAGCACCACTGGGCGACTGACTCGGGAGGTTGTGCCTGCAACTGCATCTGCGAGAGGTTAATGACTGGTGCATATAGGATGCAAAGGCGAGGTCCTACCGGCAAAGTGAACGTTGTTGTTCCTATCAAGGTCTTTACGGCAGACTCTCCCATACTCATCGTGGCGCAGATTCCAGATCTCTGTACTCTGAAAACAGCGCACCCCTAAACCCTAAACCTTAAATCCTAAACCCTAAACCCTAAGCCCTAAACCCTAAACCTTAAACTGCCGAGAGCACCGCTGACCATTGGGCGCTCGAGGCTCCAACCGAAGCCCCCGGCCGAGCGTCTCGACAGAACGGTGAGGGAGGGTAAACGTGTCAAGGGCCCCTGCCACACAGAAAGTGTTTGCACCAAGCCCACGGCTTGAACTTGGATTCTGAGCATCACCCGAAGCCTCCGGCCTTCCTGGGCAGCCTGAACATTTATTTGTTTGGTGTTCTGCTGGTGTTGCCGCCAGTTGTCTGGAAAACCATGCAACTAGACAGCGAACATCCCGAGAACCACTCGCTAGAAGTCTACAAAAGTCTACAAGCACTTGATACTACATTTCGATCTTGCTAAATTCTAGTTTTTGCAGTTCTGCTCATTCAGTGTTGGATTTTCCCAGATTTTGACCGGTCCTGGCCTGAGCCAGAAGTCTGGAGTTTAAGTCAAAGAGCAGGCATGAACCAGCAAAAAACATCTGTGATTCTGCGTGATCTGATGTGTGTTCAGCTGGTGCTGCCGCCAAGTGTCTGGAAAACCATGCAGCCAGACAGCGAACATCCCGAAAACCCCTCGCTAGAAGAGTCTACAAGCACTTGATTGATCCTGCCAACTGCTAAATTCTAGTTTTGCAGTTCTGCTCTTTCGTCCTTGACAGGTCCTGACTTGCACCGAAAAACGAAACTCATAAAACTCATCCGCAACCGCTACATGTAGACTCCTAAGCTTCTCGCAGCCGTCGGCTTCCTCAGGGTTCCCTCCCTCCCTCCCTCTCGGTCCTCTAAACCTCCAACCCGGTCCCTACAAACATTTTGCTTTCGAAATTCAAGATAGCCTACGTTCGAATGGCATGATCGGCTCCTTCCCCCCTCCTAGCCTAAACCTAAACCCCAGGCCGCCTTAACCCGGTGCCCTACAAACCGCTTGCTTCTCTTTCAAAGTAGCAAAAGAATCGAATTTCGAGCGAATCGAATCCGCACCTCCTAGCTTCCCCCGTCTGGGGTACTAGTGGCTGCTCCACGAAGAAGCGGGCGCGGGTCGCAGCCGGCCGCTACCGCTAATAGGCACCCTCCCTACACCTCCAGCCTGAACCTGGTGTCCTACAAACCATGTTTCTTCAAAAGTAGCATGGGTGCAAAAAACTGCCCAGTTTGTGGACATGTTTGATGACATTTGGTTTGGAAAAGCATAAGCAAAGGGATTTTTAACCATGTTGCCAGTGGCCTTGGAGAAACCAAGCTGGATTTGAGTTGTTTTGACTATGTCGTCAGTTGCCTATGTTTAAAACAGCTTTTGAACCATTTCCCGGCCCACCGACCGCAAGGGGTGAAGCTAGTAATTGAACCCTGGGCCATTTGCCATCGACGCCATGGCAATTGGAGACACAATCTATGGCAATCACGCGGACGAATCTGCTTTCCCAATCTAAGAGCAATCGCAAGCGGGAGCAATCAGTAAATCAACAATTCACACAAACGGCACACTCCAGGCTCAAAACCGTCTCAAAACGACTTCCAATCATGCTATATACAAGTTCGGCAACGCTTGACCAAAACAAGTTTGGTAGAGCTCGAAACAATGAATGTTCGGCTCTCAGTGCCAATGCTATGTACACTTCTCCACCTCCACTAAATGCCGAATCATGTCAGCCAATTGAAAAATTAGGAAATTCTTGTTTCTTGCAAATCAAACACGGAGGGTCACACCTCCAATGAAAATCTTGTTGTTGAAACACAATGATAAAGTCATGCCAACGCACATGCTGAGCTAGAAGAAAACTCACTCAATTCTCACCTCTTCTTTCTTCAATGCAACGCGCACTCTGACGCAGAAGCGTGCGCAATGGAACATGCAATCGCCTGCATCAATCAGGCGGTCCCTTAGACAAGGCCGGTCAATTCTCCTGTGAAACAAATGAAACATGTTTATTTGGTTTTGGGGTTTTCTCATGAATGCAGAGATCACACACAATCGAGACCAACTCACGAACAATCGTGAGGTACTCAAGACCGTGGCAATCAAAATGTTGACGACAATAACAGTAAAAGACAGGAGAGCAATGTCTCTCCAGGCAAGACAGACAGCGACAATGGGAATCCGTCATAACGTGACCATCAATGACGAGCTGCCAGCTCCGTCGGTGTTTGTCGTCCAATGCAGACTCTTCACGACAATCATGACAGACACTGACAAACCAAAAAAAAGTCTCGCTGAGACCGAAGGTCAATGAATAAGTCTTCTTGTGAATCGGGCAGACAGAACAATCAATGGACTGAGTCTCATGTCCTGCAACAATCAGTGACCGATGGTCCTGCGTGAGACCTCGAATGAGATCAAC